ATTTTTTTTTCTCCCAAAAAATTTCCCTGGAACCCCCCACCCCCCCCCCCCTTTTAGTTCGGGGGGGGGGGTTTTTTTTTTTGGCGGGGGAAAAAATTTCCCTTAAACCCCCCCCCCCCCGCATGGGGCCTTTTTTTTTTTGCCCCCCCCCCCCCCCCCCCCCCCCCCCCCGCACGCTCTGCGTCGCCTCACAGGGCGGACTACGTGGCCCTAGTAGCTAAGCGGTGTGACGGTGCCGCCGCATCAGCAGGCAAGCTCGAAAGCCCGCGGGGCTGTAATCGCTACGACCGCCGAACCAACCAAGCCGTCCGCAACGTGGAGGGGGACGACACCAAGAAGAAGAAACGTCCCATGGATCGTCGGAACGGGGAAAAGCATGGAGTAAGCAGTGGTAGCAAGCGTGGAGGGGCTGATGAAGGCGTTTGGAATGTCGCGAACCGTGCCGGCAAAGCAGGGGTGAGTAGTGATGCCAAGAGCGCTGCAGGGGGAGCAGGAGGAGGAGGAGGAAGCATCAGCGGTAGCAGCAAGAGTGCTCCTATCGCGAAGCCCGGCTACAAGCACAGGGACGACCAGCACCAGCACCAGGTCCCGAAAATGGACGGGCGGCCTGGGGAAGCAAGAAGAAGAAGAAGCCAGCAGTCTCCACCAAAGCCGAGAGGGACCTCCGCAGGAGGATCATCAAGGCCCGCAGAGGAACGGTCTGACGCAGCAAGCAGTAGCAGCACGAGCAAGCGGGCGCGTTTGATGGCGACCGGCGGCGGCGGCGGCGGGGTGGGAAAAACGCCTCGAAAATCGCCGGCGGCGGTGGTGGTGGCAGCGGCGGCGGCGGCGGCGGCGAGGCAGCGGGGGGCCGCTCCGAAGGATAGTAACGAGAAGGGCGGCGGTGGAAGGTTGTCATCATCTCGCGGGAGGGGCGAGGGAGCCGTGGAGGAGTTGTTAGCGGCGGTGGGGTCGCCTTCCTCGTCGAAGAGCAAGCAGAAGAAGAAGGCGCAGCCGCCAGCAGGCCGAAGCAAAAAAGCTCACTGAAAAGACTCAAGCACCCTCGAGGCAGTTACACAGTGCTCGACACATCCCGTTCGACTGTGGGCATACCTCGAATGGGTACAAAAGTCTTTCCGTGTGTGTACTTATTTTTCCTAATGAAAAAGCTCCCTCTTCGCCTTTCGGCGATGAGACTGCTGTGGTGGCATTCCACTCTCGAAGTACTCGGCGATTGGACTCGTGACATTTCACTCGGTCAACAAGTCGGGGCAGGAAAACAAGTGTGAAAGACAACAGCAGCAGTGATTTGGAGGGCGCGGTGACCCCGCCCAAAAGAAAAAGTGTCTTCAGTCCCTCGTAGTCTAGAGGGAGTACCTCCTACGAGGTTAGGCAAAGGTGGAGTTTGAGATGTTGAGGGTGCGAGCCGCGGGGAGGTCAGACAGATTGGTTCATGTTTCTCGCGAGGGGTTGGCACGAGCGCCCCAGGTGCATGCACGTGATGGGTCGAGAACGTGACAAACAAAGCAGTGTGCCACCTGGTATGTACTACCGGAGGTACAGTATATGGTGGTGCATGTATGTCTCACGCAAGGAAAGTCACATACCATAATTGACTGCTGGGGAAGAAAACGAAGGCACGTGCACGTGTGTTTGTCTTACCAACGACCAAGGGAAAATCGCCGCTTCAATCATCGCCGTGGTCAGATTGCGACAGCGAGCGACATGCTGCAAGTGGTTTGGGGTGGTATTCTACCACACCCTACCGCGCACATGCAACATTTCCATGGGGGCAGGCTAACCTTCATAACTCTCCCAATTTGTTGATACTAATGAAGTCCCGATAATATTAGAACCTGTTCGACTGGGGGGAGGGGGGGGGCTTTGAAGCACAACATGTACGTACGTACGACGCAACAGGCAAGCAACGGCAGTGCTAAGGCAGCTGCGTCCACGCTTGAAAACCATTTGCCATGCAGAAATTCCGCACTTTTCGGGAAAAGCCACGAGGTGCCAACGACAAACCATGCGGTGTTTTCCTGCCCATGCACCTAACCCTGTCTCACCACAGCCCATCAGTCCAAAACCAACCACGAACCATTATTCTACGGGTGAAGCTATCAACCGAATGTGCCTAAAACAAGGAAACAAGGAGGTTCCAAAACCTGCACCTGCCATCCCATGACTCGAAAAAAAAAAACGCTCTTCGGTCAACAACGAACGACAACAATATCACACGTAAAACATGAACCAACGAACGAAATAGAGCCTGAATATCAAGACAAAAACAGCTAAAATTACCCAGGGCACCAGCTTCCTCTTCCACTGCCATGAGTTGCCGCCGAAAGAACTTCGCGTGCTATCTTACCGGTGCCGCGCACGCGTTGCACGCGACACAACCGGGAGTCCCCATTCTGGAAAACCCATGAGTACGACGCAACGGGCACGAAAAATGACTGAAAAAAAACAAACCGAAATTCGAAACTCGACCACTACATACTCTTATCCATGTCGAGATACATCGTACATGAACCTCCCCCACCCACCAAGCGCTTCACTTACTCCCATCCCAACACGCGAAATTTTATACTGTCATATCTGGTTTGCAAAGACAAGAGCGGCATGGCCGCTGACTGCCCACCCCGTGAAAAAGTAAAAGCGAACCCGGAAAGTGACGCGCTTCCACAGCACAAAGCTACCACGCCCCCCCCCCCCCCCCCGTGAATACTCCACCGAACAAGCTACATATAGCCGTTACATGGACATCCACCTTCTTTGTTGAAAAAATTTTTTGGACTCCCCACGGAAAAAAAAACGCCCGCAGGAGTGTGCGCCCCTTATAGGAAGTCAGCAGCCAAGCAAGTTTTGTTTTCCAAGAGGGGTGCAGGGGGGGGCGGGGAATTACTTCCAACACAATACCAAAACCACAAGCAACCGGTTTTACGCAAATCAAGGTGTTAAAAACACTTTTGCGTCGTTCTTCAATTTCTTCCAAAGCCACCTCCCTTGCCGACAACCCCCGGGTGAAAATTGGAGTACAAGAAGAGACCCACCCAACAAAGGGGGCTGGTTACCAAAAGACCCGGGCGGAGGCTTCATTAACTCCTGTGATCAGCGGATGGGGGAGGGGGGGGGGGGAGGTGAATAAAAAACACAAAAGGGATCAACTCGTGCGCACCTAAACCATGTCGCAATCCGAACGTAGCTCGAAACGCGTAACCATGCATGCCTGCCCTTCTACAACACGACACGCCTGCCTCTCTTTGTCCGTACCCACTCCTTGTCTCTTCGTCCATACTTGGGACACAAAAACACAACCTTGACCCCCCCCCAAAACACAACCAACACAATTTTCACGGAAAACACGTACCAGGTACCAAAAAGGGTTTTGCCGTTTGCAGCTGTTCTCTCTGCTCTCTCTCGTCGCCATCATTAAGCACTTTCCCAAGGTGTCCGGCTTCCACCATTCTTCTCTCCCTTCGGCCCCCCTGCTACATCAAAAACAATCTAGACACGAACCCAAGCCGCCCCAGGCGCCCGCAAGGATACGAGACAGACGGCAAACAACCATTCACCGCCGAGAACTCAACAAACAAACACGTCAACGGCGAGCTACGGTAGCTTCCACCGACTACCCACACAATAGGCCGACCGCGGATGGGCCTCCTTTTGTGGCGTTTCGTGCTTAATACCCCCCTCCCCACACGACTTTCGCTTTTGTAACACTCAGGAACGGCGAACGAGTGCCACCAGAAAAAGTAAAAACACACCGACGGAGAGAGAGAAATACTGCCACAAACGGCGGACAAGACTTAAAACGCGACGAGTGCCCAGACGGTGTAGTGTCTCGCCGACTTCCTCGTGTTTTCCGTTTTTTTTTTTCCTTCTCGGCACGTGCCTGCTGTCGATACGCTAATGGACGACTCTCTTGATTGTAACGCAAGCACGCACGCTCGGAAACCGAACTCTGCAACCACCCCTCCCCGGACACCCGACCGACCTCAACACGGACAAGAAGACAAATACAACACCAAGCAAAACGAGGCCATGATTATAACGGCCTGACAACAAAGGACTGACTACTTGTCCTCTCCCAAACGCCCCTGTCCAACCCGCCTCTTGCACTTAGAACGGCAGACCAAACCAGAGGAGAACACCACCGGCGGCTATTTTCTCAGCGGGAACTAAGGCCGCAACATTGAAAACATCAGCCCGCTACGCTACGTCATAAAGCCGCGAACTGAAAGCGCGCGCTCCGCAAACTTTCTCACCGTCACCACACGATCACTGCCTGGCACCTTCTGGCCAGCTTCGTTTTTCAGTTCGCGTGTCTTAAACTACCATAAAAAAAAAGTACCGAAAACCAAGTTCAAGCCCCCCCCAAAAAGGCAAGAATGGACACGAGAGAAAAAAAAAATCCTACTACTGCAAAATCCTTTTAACCCCGATCCTCGTCTGCATCATCGAACTGTCTCGCGTGCGCTCGATCCGCCAGCCACACCCTGCCAAAGTCCCCGTCCTCCTGCTGGCCGCTGCCGTGTCTGTCCCTCGCCTGCTGCTCCAGGATGCTCGAGTCCGTCGTCTCCCCGGACAGCACCCGCTCGATCCCACCCCCCGCCAACGCCCCCCCCCCGGGCCCCGGCGAGTTCTGCCAGCTGTCCTGCGGGGGGACCAGGCGGTGAGACCCCATTTCCGACTCCGCCCCGGCCACCCTCGACACTATCGAGGACCTCGAGGAGCCGTACGCTTGCTGGTAGCCCAGCATGCGCTGGCCCGGGGAGGGGGCGCCGCTAGCGCCGGACCCGGGGCGGCGGTGGCCGCGGCCGCTGTCGCCGCCGCCGGCCTGGAAGGAGGTCGTGCTCCCGCCGGCCGCCGTGTCGTGGTCGTACGTGCCAGTCACCTCGCTCTGCACCCTCGACGCGGCCTCCGTGCCCGCGGACGACATGGACGCCTCCGACGACACGTCGTCGTACACGTCCACCTCCCTCACCACGGGGGAAGTGCCGTGTCTGCCCGATTGCACGGTGCCCCCGGACGAGTACGCCGACCTCGCGGCGGTCGTGAACTGCGCCGCCGCGTAGTTACCACCGCCACCGCCACCACCGCCGCCGCCGCCGCCGCCGCCGAAGGCCGGGGGGTTCGACGACTGCGCGTCGGTGTCGTTCCACGCCGAGGACCTATCGCTCTCCGACGGGGACGACATCGCGGCGCCCCTTGCGCCGAAGCCGCCGCCGCCGCCGCCATCGTCGTCGTCGACATCCGAGCTGCTCGGGTCATGCACGAGACCGCGGCCGGACGGCTGCTCTCTGAACGCCCCGAGACCCGGGCTGACCTGCGACTGACGGCCCTCATCCCGCGGAGTCGTCCCCCCGCGCTGGTGAGGGAGCACGTGCAGGAGGTTGCGGCCGGACGGCTGCTCCGAGAAGTAGTTCTCGACGGTAGGGTCCTCTCTTCTCGGCGTCTAAATCTCCACGGACGAAGACTCCCCGTAGACTTCGTTGTAGTG